GCCAAAATCCCTCCTGAGATGTGTGCAAACCTGGTGGCCAACTACAGGAAATGTCTGGCCTCTGTGATTGCCAACAAGGGATTTGCCACCAAGTACTAAGTCATGTTTTGTAAAGGGGATCAAATATTTATTTCCCTCATGAACATGCAAATCAGTGCATCATTTGTTAGACATGCATTTCTTTTGAATTTTTTGTTGCTATTCTGTCTCTCAGTGTTACAATACTCCTACCATTCGATTTTTAGACTGATCATTTCTTTGTGAGTGGGCAAACATTCAAAATCAGCAGGGGATCAAATACTTATTTCCTTCACTGTATAATCACAGGGAACCCCTTCCCTCAGCTTATACTGTGTGCCCCCGCATCCATGCATGGCCTGTGGAGTTCTCGCTACAGCCCTCAGAGTGTGTATGCATTGATATTTTTAATTTTTATTCAACGGTACTAGTAAGTGTGTACATGCACTATCTGTAGTAAAGTAGTCAAAAAAGATTGTATCTGGTTATTATCCACTTCAATGGTGGGTACTTTCACCCCTTTCCTGCCCAGGCCAAATTTCAGCTTTCAGTGCTGTCACACTTTGAATCACAACTGCTTGGAAATGCAACATTGTTTTTTTTTTTTTTTTGCTAAACAAATGAAAAAAGACTAACAATTTTGAAAACAAAATGTTTTTCTTAGTTTCTGTCATAATTTTGCACTGATATGCAGCACTGATGGGCACTGATAGGCAGCACAGATGGACACTGATAGGTGGCACATTTGGACACTGATAGGTGGCACTGATGGGCTCACATATGTGGCTGCACTGATGATCAGTGCCCTGATTATCAGTATAGATGTCCCCATCAGAATCGTCGGTTACTGGTTCTCTTCTCCTCAGATAACACAGATAACTGGCAACTCTGTTTACACTGTGATCAGCTGTGATTGGACACAGCTGATCACATGGTAAAGGGCCAATGTGATTAGCCCATTACCTCTCTCAGTGATCAGCTGTGTCTGGTGGACACAGTGATCACAGAGCATGCCCAATGCACACCACGGGGGCACGCAGGGGGGCGGGGTTCTGGAAGGACATCAACAGATTCCACCCGAGGACCAGCCGTTCGCACTGTAGCCGTCATTGGGCTATAGTGTAGTCGGCAAGTGGTTATTTGTATATTTCTCATATATTTGCACTACAAGCTCCTGAAGAGCGACCCAAGTCACAAAACATGTAGGGCATAGCTGTAGAAGGTGGAACCCCCACAGTTAGAGGAATTGGATTACTGGGCCACCTATAGTGTTTGTAATACAACTAGGTACCTTTGTTGATTTTGGGGAGAATATACCTTATTCCACATATTGAGTGCATAACCTTTTTTAATATTGTGATAAATAGTTTTAGGATTTGTTAATAAACATCATTTTTATTGTATCAATTGGTGTATAGTTTATGCACCTAACAAGTCCATACTTCATATTCCAAATACTCCTTGTTACACAGTCTCTTCCTAATTCCCTAAACCCTACTCCTAACCAGATTATGTGCTGCCCTGGCATACCTGCAAAGGTAGAGTCCATGTACAGTAATTACAGATCCCATCAGAGGCCTTCTCCAGCAGCTGGTGTATTCGGGGTGAATCCCAAGTTCTAACAACTTTACATCTTGGTAGCAGGATGCAACATCCTTATACTCCTTGGGAAGTCGGGAACAAGGCAAGAAAAAAGACATGGGCAAGGACAGGGACTCAGCCCAATGTCCCAAAGATCCTGCCACAAATCCAAAGAATTGGGAAAGGCATGAACCTCTACCCCCCTGTCATGATTTTATATTTTACCGAAAAAGTTTACCACCACTGATTTAGCCCTTATTCACATGGGTATACTACAGCGGAAGTACACAGGTGTTCCATGTGTGTTCAGGACCATACATCTGCACCTGCATGGATGTCAAAATAGGAACAGCGACTGTGTCTGTGCAGCTGCTGTGTCCCAATTTATATGAATGAGACTGCCTGTATGGGGATGTATGGAACACCTGTGCATCCTCGTGTGGGCAAACGTGACCTTTGAGTGGCTGAGGCCATGTGAATGAGATCTTAGGGTGATATTGAGGATGAAGGATGTGAAAAGGTGTACTTTTTCATTCATTAGAGGTATTGTATCACAGACATACCACAGCCTCTGAGTTTTATGTGATGGGGTGTTTCTCCAAACATTACATCTGATGTAAAAGCCAGCCACATATACAGTAGTTATTCACTTAGTACATTTATGACTCAATATATGTTTTGCCAAGAGTTCGTATTTAATTCTACCACAATGAAAAGAGTTCTTAGAAATTGTTTTGGGAGTCACTTAGCTAAGCCGCAATCTGTGAATTATCATTACTCAGTTATTTATTTCTAAATGAAAAGCTTCCTTCTACATTCATGGTTAGGCCAGTTTATACTTATATTTCACACACTGCTTGGCTTTGCAAATAATATTCACCATGACATATAATAAAGCAATGTGAAGGATAGGAGGATGGGATTAATTTGTTAACATACTATAAATCAATGTGCGATCTAGTTTTTTTAGTACTGCGCTAATCATGGTATCAAGCAGGTGCTGTCTTGGAATCTCAAGACTAGATGACATGTTAAAAAAATCCTTCTATTTTTAGCTGAATTTCAATTTTACTCATACTATTGAAGATGCCATATACAGAAGAGCAGATGTAGGGGGCACTTACTGTATGACATGTCCCACACAGCCGGTTTTGCCCCAGCAGCAATAGTATGCTGAGTTTGTACGCTGAGCTGCGCATGCATGGCTCACTGTACAACTATAAGAAAATTGCTCGTAGGCAGAAAAGGAGAAAACATACAGTGTCTATTCTCCAATGAAAGCTTACCTGCTACCAATAAATAAAATCCTTTGTGAAATGTCTGAAGATCGTTGGGTTTGCAGGCAAAAGTGGAAGGATAGTTAATCGAAAAACCATTCACACTGATTGCAAAGTGACATATGAAAGTATTTTCTCTTCTTTTCACTCAAACACAGTCAGTGTTGTTGGGGGAATCCCTACCGTGGAGCTATTGTGTTCTTCCAGTAGGGGGCAGGGGGGAGCCATTCCTGCCGGGATAACACAGTGATTATTGCTAGCTGGCAATAATTGCATGTAAAATCCAACAGACTGGTTGTTCCCAAATCTTACAACAACAATTGGGTACAATTAACCAGCCCATAGATAGTTAGATTCAAACAATCTATGGCCGGTCTAACTCCACTTCCTCAAAATAAATCTTTCCAAAACTGAGCTCATACTATTCCCTCCAGCCCGCCCCCCCCCCCCTGACTTCTCCATCAAGACCAACAACACTATCATCAGTCCCATCATGAGTCCCCCACCCCTCAAGCCAGAGTACTAGGTGTCACCCTAGACTCCAATCTGTCCTTTCAGCCCCAGGTCCAATCGCTGACAAACTCATGTAGACTTCACCTCCGCAACATTTTTAAATACGACCGTTCCTGACTTCGGAAACTACTAAGCAACTCATCCACTCCCTTATTATATCACGCCTCGACTACTGTAACTCCCTCCTCATTGGCCTACCAAACCGCAGGCTATCCCCACTTCAGTCTATCATGAATGCTGCGGCCAGACTCATCCACCTTACTAACCGTTCCGTATCTGCTACCCCCTCTGCCAATCCCTCCACTAGCTTCCAATTGCCCAACGGATAAAATTCAAAATGCTAACACTGACGTATAAAGCCGTTCATAATACTGCCCCAAATTACATCACCGATCTTGTCTCCAAATAATCACCGCCCCTCCTCACAAGACTTCCTACTCTCTAGCTCCCTTGTCTCCTCCTCCCATGCTTGTCTCCAGGACTTCTCCAGGGCTTCCCCAATCCATCAGACTATCACCTACTCTCCCTACCCCAATCCATCAGACTATCACCTACTCTCCTCACCTTTAGGCGCACTCTGAAAACCTCTCTCTTCAGGGAAGCTTACCCCGCCCTCAGCTAATACTGAACTCCTCTACTCTTCCTACCACTCCATCCCCCACAGCTATTTCCTCCTGTACCACTATCCCCTCCCTCCTAGATTGTAAGCTCCAAGGAGCAGGGCCCTCGAACCCCTCTTGTATTGAATTGTATTGTTATTATACTGTCTCGTGTACTGTCTCCCATCATAATGTAAAGCGCTGAGCAAACTGTCGGCGCTATATAAATCATGTATAATAATAATAATAATAATAATAAAAAAGGCTGCCCTACACGTGACATGTGTGCACACATAGGTCTGAACCAAGTGTGACATACACTGCTTGTTCCAAAACAAAAAAAAAAGTAAAAAAGTGAGGAGAAAAGGAGATGTTCGGGAGCTCCCAGAGGATGCTAAAAAGAGTCAGAAAACACAGTAGGAAACAATTTCATGAAAAATGGATTACAGGACCATTAAAGTGGGATTTCAGGCTATTCCTCACTATGCTTAATTCTGCTCCCACCCCTTCTAAATCATATTCTAACTGCCCTGTGAAAGGAAGATGCTGATACTTACCTATTCTGAGGATGCTCCGGCTAGGTCACATTATCTTTCAGCAGCTGGCTTCAGGAGAGAGGAGAGAATGCTCATAATGGCTGAAAATGCCCGGATGGTGATGTAATTCATAGACTTGGTATGGGGCATCCGATGTCCCTCCTTTCCCCTGAAGCTACCACTGAGAGCCAATCATGGTACTGGACAGGAACACCATCAAAACAGGTAAGTATAAGCCTTTTACTTTCACAGATTATTATAGTATTTTTTGCTCCATAAGACGCACCGGACCATAAGACGCACCTAGGTTTTAGAGGCGGAAAACAAGAAAAAAAATATTCTGAACCAATGGACTGCAGACACAGTACAGCAAATTACCAGAGACTGCGGACATACTACAGGAGATGACCAGAGACTGCGGACGTACTACAGGAGATGACCAGAGACTGCGGACGTACTACAGGAGATGACCAGAGACTGCGGACACAGTACAGGAGATGACCAGAGACTGCGGTCATAGTACAAGAGATGACCAGAGACTGCGGTCATAGTACAAGAGATGACCAGAGACTGCGGTCATAGTACAGGAGATGACCAGAGACTGCGGTCATAGTACAGGAGAGGACCAGAGACTGCGAACACAGTACAGGAGATGACCAGAGACTGTGGACACAGTACAGGAGATGACCAGTGACTGCGGACACAGTACAAGAGATGACCAGTGACTGCGGACACAGTACAAGAGATGACCAGAGACTGCGGACACACTACAGGAGATGACCAAGAGACTGCGGACACAGTACAGGGGATGACCTAAGAGACTGCAGACACAGTACAGGGGATGACCAAGAGACTGCGGACAGTACAGGGGATGACCAGAGACTGCGGACAGTACAGGGGATGACCAGAGACTGCAGACAGTACAGGGGATGACCAGAGACTGCAGACAGTACAGGGGATGACCAAGAGACTGCAGACAGTACAGGGGATGACCAGTGACTGCAGACAGTACAGGGGATGACCAGCGACTGCGAACAGTACAGGGGATGACCAGAGAATGCAGACAGTACAGGGGATGACCAGAGACTGCAGACAGACCTGACTAAGGACTGCAGACCTTTGGGAAGGGAGGTGGAGTGGGTACCTAAATTTGACAGTTGTCCTCCCTTTAGTATGGGCACCCGGCTGATAGCCGGGTGCCCACTGCGCATGCGTGAGAAGCGCTGCACTTTGTGATTGGTCCGGCATCTTCTGGGACTTGTCATGTGTCCCAGAAGACGCCGTACCATTCACAAAGCACAGCGCTTCTTGCGCATGCGCACTGGGCACCCAGCTGTCACAGCCGACATCCCACACTAAAGATATCGGCACGGGAAGACTGTACAGCGCTGGACCGAGGAACAGGTGAGGTTCTATACGAGCGGCCGGCCTGGTATTCTGACGCGGCGGCAATTGGAATACCGGACCGTCCACTCCATATTCGCTCCATAAGACGCACTGACATTTTCCCCCCTTTTTTGGGGGGAAAAAAGTGCATCTTATGGAGCAAAAAATACGGTAGTTAACCACTTGACCTTCGGAAAGCCATTTTTTTTGCTGTTCAGCACTGCTACTTTTATATGGCAATTGCGCAGTCATGCAAAACTGTATGCAAATTAAATTGATATTGCTTTTTTCATACAAAGAAATTTCTTTTGGTGGTATTTTCTCACCTCTTTATTTTTTATTTTTTGCTAAATAAACTAAAAAAACAACCCCCCCCCCACCCAATATTTTCTACTTATTGTTATAAAATATATCCAATAAAATAATTTTTTTATATAAATTCAGACTTGCATGTCCTTGGTAAAAGCAAATCCCAATAAGTGTGTAATAGTTGCTTTGTATGAAAGTTGCAGTATTTACAAACTATGGTATATTCATTATATGGCCAAAAGTATTGGGAAACCCCTCCAAATCATTGGATTCAGGTGTCCCAATCGCCTCAATGGCCACAGGTGTATAAAATCAAGCACCTAGGCATGCAGACTGCTTCTACACACATTTGTGAAAGAATGAGTTGCTCTCAGGAGCTCAGTGAATTCAAGCGTGGTACCGTGATAGGTTGCCACCTGTGCAATAAGTCCATCCATGAAATTTCCTTGCTACTAAATATTCCACAGTCAACTGTTAGTGGTATTATAACAAAGCGGAAGCAACTGGGAACAACAGCAACTCAGCCACAAAGTGGTAGGCCACGTAAAATTACACATTGGGTTCAGCGCATGCTGAAGCGCACAGTGTCCAGAAGTCACCAACTGTCTGCAGAGCCAATAGCTAAATACCTCCAAACTTCATGTGGCCTTCAGAGTAGCACAACAACAGTGTGTAAAGAGCTTCATGGAATGGGTTTCCATGGCCGAGCAGCTGCATTCAAGCCTTACATCACCAAGTGCAATGCAAAGCGTCAGATGTAGTAGTGTAAAGCACGCTGCCGCTGGACTCTAGAGCAGTGGAGACATGTTCTCTGGAATGATAAATCATGCTTCTCTGTCTGCCAATCTGATCGATGTGTCTGGGTTGCTAGAAGAACGGTACTTGCCTGACTGCATTGTGCCAAGTGTAAAGTTTGGTGGAGGGGGGATTATGGTGTGGGGTTGTTTTTCAGGGGTTGGGCTTGGCCACTTAGTTCCAGTGAAGGGAACTCTTAATGCATCAGCATACCAAGACATTTTGGACAATTTCATGCTCCCAACTTTGTGAGAACAAATTGGGGATGGCTCCTTTCTGTTCCCTCATGATTGCGCACCAGTGCACAAAGCAAGGTCCATAAAGACATGAATGAGCAAGCTTGGGGTGGAGGAATGTTACTGGCCTGCACAGAGTCCTGATCTCAACCCGATAGAACACCTTTGGGATGAATTAGAGCTGAGACTGCGAGCCAGAACTTCTTGTCTGACATCAGTACCTGACCTCACAAACGCGCTTCTGGAAGAATGGTCAACATTCCCATAGACACACTCCTAAACCTTGTGGACAGCCTTCCCAGAAGAGTTGAAGCTGTTATAGCTGCAAAGGGTGAGCCAACTCAATATTGAACCCTACGGACTAAGACTGGGATGCCATTAAAGTTCATGTGCGTGTAAAGGCTGGCGTCCCAATACTTTTGGCAATATAGTGTATCATAGTTGCCAACATTTCAAAAAAGTTTTTAGGGACACCTTTTTTTTTCTGTGTGTCCAGAAAGCCACTGTAGGTGAAGCATTACTTACATTAGAGGCGGAGAATTTGTTTATTATGGGTGTGGTTCTTACAAGAAGTAGGTGGAGAAAGTGGGCATGTTTAAATTCCGCTACATATTGGAAGTGGCTTAAAGGGGATGTGGTTAAATGTAGTAGAGTCTGAGATGACATAAATAGGGAATGTGCAGTGCAGAATGAGGGAGCAAAAATGCCAAGTGTGAACCTTCTTCCCATACCAAAAAAGATGAATAGTGCATAGAGTGGCTGGGTTGGCATAGTGGACCAAAATTACAGCCCTAAGATATTACCACCAAAAAATAAAGTAGTGTGCAGAGCAGTGTCCAGAAGTCAGTACTATATAAGGCAGTATACAGAGGTCAGTAGTATGTAGGGCAGTGTACAAGGGTCAGTAGTATGTATAGTAGCGTACAGAGGTCAGTCGTATTTAGGGCAGTGTACAGGGGTCAGTAGTAATGTAGAGCAGTGTACAGGGATCAGTATTATGTAGAGCAGTATACAGGGGTCAGTAGTATGTAGGGCAATGTACAGGGGTCAGTAGACTGTAGAGCAGTGTACAGGGGTCAGTAGTATGTAGGGCAGTGTACAGGAGTCAGTCAGTAGGATGTAGAGCAGTGTACAGAGATCAGTAGGGTGTAGAGCAGTATATAGGGGTCAGTAGTATGTAGGGCAGTTTGCAGGGGTCAGTGGGATGTAGAGCAGTGTACAGGAGTCAGTAGGATGTAGAGCAGTGTACAGAGATCAGTAGGGTGTAGAGCAGTATATAGGGGTCAGTAGTATGTAGGGCAGTGTACAGGGGTCAGCAGGATGTAAGCAGTGTACAGGGGGCCAGCAGTATGTAGGACATGTACAGGGGTCAGTAGTATGTAGAGCAGTGTACAGAGTTCAGTAATATGTAGATCAGTGTACAGGGTCAGTAATATGTAGAGCATTGTACAAGGTCAGTAGTATGTAGAGCAGTGTACAGGGGTCAGTAGGATGTACAGCAGTATACAGGGGTCAGTAGTATGTAGGGCAGTGTACAGAGGCCAGTAAGATGTAGGGCAGTGTACAGAGGTCAGTAGGATGTAGAGCAGTATACAGGGGTCAGTAGTATGTAGGGCAGTGTAAAGAGGTCAGTAGGATGTAGAGCAGTGTACAGAGGTCAGTAGGATGTAAGCAGTGTACAGGGGGCCAGTAGTATGTAGAGCAGTATACAGGAGTCAGAAGCATGTAGAACAATGTACAGAGATCAGTAGTATGTAGGGCAGTGTACAGGAGTTAGTACTATGTAGAGCAGTGTACAGGGGTCAGTATAATGTAGAGCAGTGTACAGCCCTAAGATATTACACCAAAAAAATAAAGTAGTGTGTAGAGCAGTGTCCAGAAGTCAGTAGTATTTAAGGCAGTATACAGAGGTCAGTAGTATGTAGGGCAGTGTACAAGAGTCAGTAGTATGTATAGTAGCGTACAGAGGTCAGTAGTATTTAGGGCAGTGTACAGGGGTCAGTAGAATGTAGAGCAGTGTACAGGGATCAGTAGTATGTACAGCAGCATACAGGGGTCAGTAGTATGTAGGGCAATGTACAGGGGTCAGTAGACTGTAGAGCAGTGTACAGGGGTCAGTAGTATGTAGAGCAGTATACAGGGGGCAGTATACAGGGGTCAGTAGTATGTAGGGCAGTGTACAGGGGTCAGTGGGATGTAGAGCAGTGTACAGAGGTCAGTAGGATGTAAGCAGTGTACAGGGGCCAGTAGTATGTAGAGCAGTATACAGATGTAGGGCAGTGTACAGATGATCACTGTAACAGCAATGTTTTGAACTGTCATGAATGGGTTAGATTCATAACAGCTGTGATTACTATTGTGTGCTGTGATTGGACCACAGCTATTACATGGTACAGAGTGCTGTGATTATTATTATACAGGATTTATATAGCACCAACAGTTTGCTCAGCGCTGTACATTATAACATTATAATGGGAGACAGTACACAAGACAGTACAGTAACAATACACGAGGAGTTCGAGGGCCCTGCTCCTTGGAGCTTACAATCTAGGAGGGAGGGGATAGTGGTACAGGAGGAAATAATTGTGGGGGATGGAGTGGTAGGAAGAGTGGAGGAGTTCAGTAATTAGCTGAGGGCAGGGTAGGCTTCCCTGAAGAGAGAGGTTTTCAGAGTGCGCCTAAAGGTGAGGAGAGTAGGTGATAGTCTGATGGATTGGGGTAGGGAGTTCCAGAGGATGGGGGAAGCCCTGGAGAAGTCCTGGAGACGGGCATGGGAGGAGGAGACCAGGGAACTAGAGAGTAGGAGGTCTTGTGAGGAGCGGAGAATACATTTTGGGTGGTATTTGGATACCAGATCGGTGATATAGTTTGGGGCAGTATTATGAACAGCTTTATACGTCAATGTTAGTATTTTGAATTTTATCTATTGGGCAATCTGAAGCCAGTGGAGGGATTGGCAGAGAGGGGTGGTGGATACGGAGCGGTTAGTAAGGTGGATGAGTCTGGCCGCAGCATTCAAGATAGACTGAAGTGCGGATAGCCTGCGGTGAGGTAAGGCGATGAGGAGGGAGTTACACTAGTCGAGGCATGATATAATAAGGGAGTGAATGAGTTGCTTAGTGGTTTCCGGGGTTAGGAACGTACGTATTTTGGAGATGTTGCGGA